CTTTTAAAGGGTATTTTCTTTTAATAAGTCTAATGACCTCCAACCTATTAAACAAGTCATTTTTTTAAGGAAATTTTGGAATTTAGTGCCTTGAAAATGGGGTATTAAATTTTAGTACCCGTTTAAAACTTTATTTTATTTGGTACCCATCAAAGTTTAAAATTATAGCTTTTGGTACCTCCGTCTATGTTCCGTTAACTTTTCTGTTAGTTGGGACCTGCCACCTTCTAGCCACCCTTAGCCCCTCTCTCCCCCCCTCCTTGTACGGCTGCAAGCAACCCCGAGAACAACCACCTCCTCCCAGCCACCCTTAGCCCCCCCTCCCACTTCCTGTGCGACTGCCAGCAACCCCAAGAATAACCTTCCAGCCACCAAAACACTAATCAACCCACCACAATAGCTTGCCGCTATGACCAGGTTGAAACCCTGGCCAACCACAGCAGCCTGCCGCCGCAGCCAGGCACGCATCCTATGCTTCCAACCACAGCTGCTTGCCCCGCGACCAAGCACGAAGCCCAACCACATCAACCTACCGCCGAGGCCAGACACGAATCCTAATCATAACAACCTACCGCTGCGGCCAGGCACGAATCCCAGCCACAGTAGCCTGTCGTTGCGGCCAGGCATGAATCCAAGCCACAGCAGCCTGCCGCCGCATCTAGACACGAATTTCAGCCACGATTCGGGGTTCATGGGAGGGAGGGAAGACGGCGGTTTTGCAGCAGTTGCGGCTAAGATCGAAGGAGGGAAAGGGAGGAGGTGGGCTCGCCGGCGCCGGGGGAGTGTTTAGGAACCGGGAGCGAGCACGGGGAGGGGGAAGGGTGGCTGATAGGAAGGGGGGGAGGGCAGCTGGTTGTTTTTTTATTTTTTAAGTTTATTTTTTATTTTTTATAAATTAAATTATTAAATAATTAGATAATGGGCCCCACTACCGAGGTACCAAAAGCTGTAATTTAAAACTTTGATGGGTACTAAAATAAACGAGTAGTAAAATTCAACACCCCCCATTTTCGAGGTACCAACTACCAAAATTTCCTTTTTTTAATTGAAAAAATTATTTATTAAATTTCAATTATAATTACATTAAATAATAAAACTAAAAAATAAAAATCCTAGCCACCCCCTTCCCCACCCATTGCTAGCCTCCCCACCAGTTCCCCTGCCACGGGCCACCCGGAGACCACTCCCTCCACTTCCCCCGGCGCCGGCGACCCCACGCCCTTTCTCTCTCCCACCAATGACACCAACCTTTCCCCTTTTCCGCTTACCCACCCACTGCAAACCCTTGACCAATCAAATCACCCCAACTCAGCTCACAACCAAATGTATGCCTTCTGAAAAATAAACCCCCATTTACTAGTAATTAATTGACTCGAACCCAACTCAGTAGTGGGTTCTACATCGAGATTGAGCTTAATGAAGCGATTGATTTGAAATATGATGAAAAACCCATCATCGAAAACAGGGGAATTATTAGCTTGACGCCATTAATGGTGACATCGTCATCGAACGAAATTGGAGGAAGTAATGGAGAGTGAATTGTAAGGAGCAGAGTAGGGAGTTGGACGCATAAGAGATAGATTGAAGGTCAATGAAGGAATAGAAGCGAGGGCAAAAATGGAATTGGAGAAGAGAGAGGGTTGGCCAGAATCAGTGAAAAGGAGTCGGAGAGACTGAAGAAGGTGGCGGAAGAAACGACGGAGATGAGAGGTTGAGAGATGAAAAGGGCACGTGACATGGTCAACGCCGGAAAATAAAAGTCAACGATGACTTTTCGACCAAAGATAGTCTCTTACAATATTTACCCTTATATAAGGTAGTTTCTTACAACATTTTTTTATTAGGTAGTTTCTCACAAAAAAAAGTGCATTATAAGGTAGTTTTTCACAAAATGTCTTATACAGTGACCGAGTAACCTCCATAACATTGATTGAATAACTCTTATAACGCTGATGAAGCAATTGATATAACACCGACATAGTAACCCTATAACACTAACGAAATAATCCCTATAATGGTTGGCCATACCGTGTGGCCGACCACATATAAGAATTTGTATATTCTAATTAGACTATATAAGGCCTAATTTTTGGGATAGCCATCTAATCATGCTGAACTAAGACAAGGGTTTTAGGTTAACTAATTATGAAAAAAGGGCTATGATAAAGGGCTTTAAGGGCACCTTTACCGTTTCCACTTTGGGCTCCAAAAAAATCCAAGACCCCACTATTGCTTATGTATTGACAAAATAATATTATTTATATACTTAACGTACCTTATAACCATACGACACATATATATATATTTTTTTTATCTGGTGGTCATTGTATCATAAGTTACGTAACACATGATTACAATGATTAGCTGGTGCACTACAGTATACAAGTTGCTAATTTAGCATTAATTCAAAATTTTTAAAAGGCCAAAACGCACTTCAGTAATGTAATTAGTATGAAGGCACCTTAAGATAACGAAGATATGTTATTATATTAATTTATAACACTTTTTTTGTAGTCGTAATCTACAAGATTAGATATGACTTATTTATAATACTTTAAGCTAGTAGAATTTGGATTTTAAGTACAATCGTTTTGGCTTTTTAACTAGTGACTAGTGTACCCATCAAGAAATCAACCTTTTAACTAATGTTAGACTAGTTTATGTCCTTACCCAAAAAAAATAAAAAATAAAAAAAAATAAAAATCCTGTTTAATTACTTATAAACTCTGTCTAAAAAATAAGAAAAATTTTCAATGGTGACCTTCAAGTTTATTTTTGCTAAATACATATGGCGACCTCCCTTTTTTTCTATTTTACAAATTGACCCTAATTAAGAAATTTATCTCACTTATGACATTAATGAGTGTAATTAAGTTATTAAAAAAAAAAACTTATTTATAGTTAGCTTGAAAAAAAAAAAAAAAAAACTAAACAGAAAAACCTTCAACCCACCACCGCCTCCACCCACATCCCCCTCCAGACGTAGCTAGCACCACCTCCACCCTCACCGGAGTCACTGAACCCCCTCGTCTGAACCCTAACCTCTTAACTCTGACCATCACCTCCACCCTTTCCTCTGACACGCTCATCGAACACTTGCGTGAGCAAAATATGGGTTTTCAATTAGTTAAAGATAAATATTGAAGATGTTGAATGCCAAACTGCTGCAATTTTGAGACCAAATTGTAATTTTTGGTAGCCAAATTGTCGATTGCAGGTGGATTAAAAATCGGTTGGTGGAGGTAAATTGGTGCGTGACTGCAGCGCGATTTGTTGTTTAGTGTCTCGGTGGCTGCAAATCCGATCCGCGGCTACCGCTGCGTAAGGGTGCTTATAACCGGGTACCCGGGATTTCGGGTACTCGAAATTGAGGGTGCTCGGAAGTGCGGGTAGTTATTTGGGCCCATTACCCGACTCAGTAAAAACGGGTACCCGCTTATCAGGTACCCGCTTTCACCGGGTACCCAAATATTTAATATGTATGTTTTATTTTTCAGAAAAAAACACACATGTTGTTAATATGGCCTTAAAAACCTGCTCATTTTATTAAAAAAAAAATACTTTTTTCATTAAAAACAAATAATGACGTGTTTATTAATTTAAAAAACCTGTTGTTTTCATTTAAAAAAAACTGATGTGTTTATTTTACAAAAAAAGATGTTGTTTTCACAATAAAAAATAACCTGCTGTCTTTTTTAATAATTAAAAAAAAAACCCTGCTTCCATTAACAAAAATAACCTGATGCAATGCTTACCTATCTTGAATTATTCTCATAACTCAACCAAATTCTGATTTAGAGTACAATATGCAAACCAAAGTTCAAAGTTCAAGGTGTCCAGCTAGATAGTCCAAACAGTTTACATCAAATTAAAACAACTAAATAAATTACAAACTCCAAACAATATCTCAAAGCCACAAATAAAACTAAATGGGAGAGGGGATAATTTCAGTCACTTGTGACATCCGAGGCTTCAATAGTTTCATCAATAATAATTGTTGGTTACTCTGAGACCAAGTCTTTAATCCCTACACAAGATAAATCATACAAAAAAAAAAAAAAAAAACATAAATCAATTGTAGAATATCACAAAGGATAAAAAGCAAGTAATAGCAGCGAAATTAACCAAAAAAATGTTTTTGAATATAACTTAGGTATAATCATACATAATCAGAAAATTAACCCCGAAAATTTCGATAAAAACCCGAAAAAATGTAATTGAAAATTACTTTAGTATAATCACACATAATCAGCAAATTAACCCAACAAAATTCGAAAAAAATACCCTAAAAATGTAATTGAAAATAACTTGAGTATAATCAAACATGAGTAACGAAATTAACCCAAAAAATTCGACAAAAAACCCTAAAAATGTAATAGAAAACAACTTGAGTATAATCAAACATAAGCAAAGAAATTAACCAAAAAAATTCGAAAAATATATCAACCTTACGCGGCTGACGGCGAGGAACTGACGGTCGACGGAGGTTCGCCTGAGAGGGAGGAAGAAGGTTCGTTTCAGAGAGACTTGAGAGTGTGTGTTTGGGAATTGAGTGTGAGCAAGGAGAGAGAAGAGGAGTGAGAAGAATGTTGAGATGCGGCTACTGCTTGTCTTAGGAAGTGAGGAGAGAGAAGACTAGATGAAAGTAACCCTTATTTGAGTTCCAGCTAAGAAATTTTAAAAGAAAAAATAAAAAAAATTCGGTTATTTAACGGGTACCCGCAACTCACTATGTTCGGCTTCCAAATCTGATATTTTAACGGGTCGGGTACCCGACCCGCAAAATTGAAAAAAAAAATCAAAATTACCCATCGGGTATTTTGCGGGTCAACAACTCAGCAGGTCGGGTCAAACGGTTCGGGTATTTTTGAACACCCCTACCGCTGCATGTGCTACCGATGGTGCGCGACTAATAGTGATGTTGGTAGGTGGCTGGTTCATGCAGTGGTGTGTAAGGTGGTGATTGCGGGATGCACCAAGGGCAAGGTGGTTGATTGGTGGTTGGGCGGTGAATGTGGTTATGAGGGAAAGAAGTAGCATGGCGGGCTGGGACAGTAAGTACGTGGGCTAATGAGGGTGATGCGGTGTTTAATGTGGTTGTGCTAACAATCGGAGGAGCTCGGGGTAGTGTCGCCGCTAAGGGAGCCGGTGGCTGGATATGTTTATAACATTAGTAAAGAGTTATGATAAAGCTTATTAAAGAAACAATTTTAATTAACAAGATCTCACATGATGACTATATTTTTCCTTACATATAATATACGTGAGACGGTAAAAAAAAAAAAAATTAAATAGTGTAAATTCAAAGGGGATAAAGTAAAAATGAACGATTGAAATATATCTCTAGCTATTTACAAATATATTAAAATTATATAATTTGATAGTGTAATTTTTAATTTGATATGAGTCTAGACAAACTTTTAAATAAATCGGATGTATAATAAATATTGTACATATGTTATAAAGTTACCCCTAAAATGAGTAAAAGTTACCCTAATATGAATGAAAGTTACTCTGACATAAATTAAAGTTACGAAATATTTTCGCTATATTGATAAAAGTTAATCAAAAATTTGTAAAAGTGACCCTAAATTTGATTAAAAGTGAAACCCGAGTAAATTACTATATACCGGATGTATATAAAAGTTATTCATGAGTCTAACAAGATTCAAAAAATAATGAATATATTTTTCCCAATATAAATCAACAAAGATAATCAAGTAGGAGAGCGTTAATAGTGCAAATTTCTTAATGTTACAGCTAATACAAATTGGACGAAGAATTTACTCACTAAGTCATTATCATAATCCTTCTAAATTTTTTAATTCACGATCAATCTCCTTAAGTTTTCAAAAACAATGATAGTGTTAGGTCCAAATCTTCTTAACTTATTTTCAAATTATTTAAGTTTGGTTCATTACTGTTGTTGTTATCTGTTGTTTGCGTTGTTACTTTGTTTTCGTTTTAATTATACTACCTATTTACATTTTAATTTATCAGTTTAATTCAGCTATTTCAGCTGACTTCACCATAGTGCAGTTCATTCCAATTCAACAGATCATCATGGTGTTAGTACTTAGACAAAAAAGAAAAAAAAAAAGGTTAAGAATCTATGCTTAAATGGAAAATGATATGGCGCATAAATCATCAAAAATTTGATTGAAATCATTAAAATTTAAAATTCCATGGAATATTCCATCAAGCTAGACCCAACATAGCATAGTGGATTAGTGGAAAATTAGAATACTATTAGTTAGTGGTCCTAATTTGTGTATAATAATACCCAATTGGTCAGAAGAAAAATACTATAAATAGAGCAAACATAGTGTAGTTAATTCACCAACAATACAAGCCACAAACACACAACATACTTCATACTTAAAACACAAAGGTAAACAACTCTTCATAACAAAAACAATGGAAACCAAGGTTGGGTTCAAGAGAATCATAGTAGCACTCTTTTTCATCCTTGCAACAGGTATTTCCTTATCCATTTTAAGTTTGTCTATTCGTTTCATAAAAGCATGAAGATGCGTGCTCATAATATTAATAAATGGGAAATTCCCTGTTTCTTACACCCGATTTGCTAGTCAACAAATATCTCAGTTATGGTTATGCATAACATGATTTATTGATCACATGTCAAATTGCCACTTGATTACCTTAAAGTCCCAAAGTAATATATATATATATATATATATATATATATATATATATATATATATATATATATATATATGAAAATTTAAGATTAGTTTATTATTTTAATTTCAAAAATAGTGACAATCTTTTTTATATGTATAAAACAATGAAAAGGCTGATACAATAATTGAAATATATACTTTTTGACAAGAAATGATAGGACTTTAAGTATATTACAAACTACAAAGGAGTGTAAATTATATGATTATTGAGACTATAGAGTAGAAATACCTTCATGTTTGCTTCACCTAAAATTTTTTAGTTTCTAAATATTTCTCTGAATTATTTTAGTAATTTGTTATCTTAGATGATACGTACTAAATCATAGATATTTATGTAATATGTATAACTCACATTTAATTTACGTATATAAGTTAATTTTGTTGTACGTAGTGATGCTGCAAGTCCTTGCTGTGAAAGCTCAACAAGAGAATCCAGTGTGCGAAGAGCACCTTGGACATCCATGCACTCCTGGTGTTAGAGAATGTTGTGCTAACACTGGACGCCAATGCGTATCCGCACCATCTTTGAACGGTTTCCGGTGTATGTAAAACCGTCATCGATCACCACCACCTGCAACATTAACGACAACCTAGTCTACTGTTTTATTATAATGTCTTTCTTTTTAGTTAATCGTACTTTACTTAAGGTTGATATTTATATTAGCCTATTTAAGTGTTTCTGTATGTACTTTGATTTCTTGTTGGGTGGTGAGTTTCTGGTCTATCTTTGCCAATGATGGTATGGATAAAAATGGTTGTCTTGTGCTATAAATAAAGATTATCATTTTCTATTTTCTATTGTCTTTTTTAGTTGGATTTGTATATGTGTCATAATGGATGCCAACTATCAAAAAATAACCCACTTGATTGTATTGGATTAACGAGTGAGAAAATGAAATTCGTAACTCGAACCAAACATGACTTGATATTAACTTACAATTGATTCAACCTAGTACATAAAGACTCGAATTTATTTATCCAATATGACTACCAACATCATATTTGACTCGATAGGGATCAAAATCGAAACGAGCATCCAACTCTATTAAAGAGATGTATGGGGAATTTAAAATTGATTTAACTTTTGCAAGTGAATATTTTCATTTCATTTAACAATGAATTAACTTTTGCAAAACTTGAAACATGTAGAGAGTTGCCAACAAATCTTCAAAATATTGAAGACGCATATATGATAAATAACTCCTATTAGATTTACGATTAAGAACTAATCAAAAAGACAATAATTAGGGTTCAAATAAGAAAAAATCAAATAGATCAAGAGTTTAGAAACTATTTGACATCATTAGTTTATTATAATGATGAGAACATGAAAATAGCCAAAAGAATAAGTTTTATACTATCATATCACAACCCCTCGCGTGAGATTATGTAGGGATTGAAACATAGATTCGACATGGACCCAACCTACACAAAACTTTAATCACACTTGAAATAAGGGGTGAATGGATGATAAGATTTGAACCCATGATCTTTATGTTACAGTCCAAAATCTCAAATAATAAAGCTAATTATTGAGACTTAAGAATATGCTTCGTGCTCTATCAATATAAATTACCCCTATTTTCAAAAGTTTTTCACAATTACTACTGCATCATTTTCATAATGCTAGTGTCCTATACTATTTTGGGTGTTTTAAAAAGATCTACCCATATTGCAAATATTTAATTTTTAACTAATTGATTGGTTGTGGATTGATGATATGGGTCTAAATAAGGAAATCTCTACCTTGAATTATGCATTATGACTTGTGCTTTCCTACAGAAAAAAAAAATCAAAAAACTTAAATAATGTAAACTAAGACATGTGTTTAAAAAAAAAAAAAATCATTTTTTCTTATATTATATAATTGATTACATATGGGACTAATATTATAAAATGAAATGAGTATATTGTACAATCTTGTTTAATTTATAGATTCTAGATAGAATTGTTTGGACAAAAAAGGGCATAAGAAAAAGGTGAATTGCTAAAGGAAGAGGCAATCTGCAATGAGTGCACGGAAAGCAACTAAGGATCAAATTCAAAGTGGGATCATCTTCATAATATATCTTTTTCTTTATAATTAAGGAAGGGTTATGTATTGGCGCATAACTGCTATTTACATGGCAAGTAAATAGCAGTTATAAGGCAAAATAACTTGTACTATAGTAATGTAGAATACGTGTATAAAAGCACATCAAAAATACCACTATAAGTATAATAGTACATTAAAAATGCCACTGAAGTAATAAAAATCACAAAAACTAAGTGAATTTAACAATTAGCCCTCCTATATACATCGTAAACAAATAGAAGCTATACGTCTAGGGGTGATTGCATGATAAGATTTGACACTTGATCTATATGTTAGAATGGCTCTAATACAATGTTAAAGGACCACCTCAACCAAAAGCTCAAATACAACTATTAACAATATATATAACCCCCATTTTCAGAAGTTTTTCACAATTACTACTTGCCTTTTATACCTTTAGTAGGATTTTATCTTATGAGCATGTATTTTGTAGGAGACGGCCGTAGAGTTTCGGCCATGGGCCAATTTTGACGTTTTTGCGCTCGCTACGCAAAGCGTCGTTATTTCCAGGGGACGTATGATGTTGTGGTGTATCTTGGTGAGATAGTGGCTATTCATCAACACTCCTTAGTGGCCTTCGTTGTTCCTGCTCGCCCTCCTCGAAATATATTTAATAAGGTGAGGTTGAGGACCTTGGTGAGTAGGGCGCCAGAGGGCACGCCTTGGTGGACGCACGCTCGTCTGGAGCTATACTACTCAGAGGCCTTGCTGCCTCTTTTGGCTCCACCGCTTGTTTTGCAAGAGGGAGGAGATGAGGTATTCTTTATCTTGCGCATTAATCTCTTGTATAGCCCCCAAGCAGATGTTAATTACTCAGTTTATCTTGTAGGATGCGCACGCAGAGTTCGTCGCGCCACCTGAATCCATCATCCATCAAGGGATGTATGGCCCTTTTGAGGAGATTATTCTTCTAGCTCCTTCGGATCATCGCTTTATCGAGCAGTAGATACCTCGGCGTCAGACTTGAGTAAGTCATTTATTTTCCTTTTTACTTGCACATATATTTTTGATCGCTACTAGCTTGTCTCTTGACAGTTCTCTCGCGAGGTGGTGACGATGATGGCGAGAGGTTTAGACGCCTTTCGTTACCAACTGGTGAGATTGAGGGATCAAGCATCTTATTGTCGTGATGACACTGTAGAGCTATTTCTCTTATCCTTATCTTATGCTTTATTTGCTCATTTAGCACCTGACATGGTTTGCTTTTGCAGGGACAACCTAGTCCTCCTCATACTCGGACGAGACCTGAGGTTTGGAGAGAGAGGTTCCACTCGTCGTACCTCTTCCAGGGGTGAGGGTGGCCGATTAGAGACGGCTCCACCTGAGAGACCGGAGGGTTCGGTCTCTTCGTCTGAGGGTGCACATGTTAGGCCGGCAGGCCAAGGAGGCATGTCGTCGACTCCTTTAGGAGGTGGTGGGACATACGAGGTTGGCTTGTCGTCGCAGCAGCCGCCTCAGCCATTGGCTATTGAGCTCTAGAGTGAGTTTGGATGGGCTGGTCCTACTCTGTCGATCCCGAGTGTTGGCGATCCTAGGGTCGGTGAGGGGCATACTCCACGATTTACGTTGTTCTTTGACATTTTGGGAATGTCTCCCCATTTATATCATCCGGCACCATAGTTGTACCTGTGTTTATTTTATTTGACTTATAGGACTTTGCGAATTTGTATTCTATGAATTCTACATTAGACACATTGTACATACAACTTTATTATGCTTATTTTATCTTTGTATTTTTTAATTTTTATTTTATGTGCATGTGAGTGTGTGCAAAAAATTGTGACTAATTTTGCGCAAAAATTTCCGTCATTTTTATTATTTATGGAGTGTATCCGACTTTCTCCCCCAAAAAGAAAAAATAAAAATAAAATTTTGACTAACATAAGCCTAAAATTTATTTAAGCTTAAATTAATCGAAAAATGTTTGAAAGAAGTTAAAAACATAAAGTCGATGCAAAAAAATCGAGTCGTAATCGAAGAAATTATATGGTTTGCATACTGTCGTCGAACCGACTATCTGTCGCCAAACGCTGGAGTCGTCGTCAGACGCTGATTTTGTCGGCAGGAAACAAGCCTCGTCGCTAGACGCTGTTCTTGTCGTCTGGCGACAAACTCTTTTTCTCCGAATCCTTTCGAAAAACAAAATTGCACCAGTTTTGTGCATAAATAGCCTCCAAATCTGCCGAATTTTGTTTATTTCGAATTGATTAAAATAATAGTTATAGCTTTAATTCTCTTTAAGCAATCATGTCTAAGAGTTTTAGTGATTTTACCCGTGAGTGGTGTCGTTCTTTGACTGCTAGGGAGAGAACAGAGCTTGATTTCTTTCATATGGGAGGTATTTATGGTATTAAGGGGGGTAGATATAGATATAGATTTTATTCATACCGCCTTAGAATATTGGGATCCAGACACACATTGTTTTAGATTAGGCTATGATGAAATTAGTCCTTTACCGGAAGAATTTGGTGCCATTCTAGGCTTTCCCTCCATGGATCTTGCAGTAATTCCTAATATTAGTGAATATTATTCTAAAGATTTTGTGTGCTTCTTTAATCTGAAAGACAGAGATCTAACATATATTGTGGAGGTACTGTAGTTAATCTGAAAGAATTTGCACGCCACTATTTTGATAGACCATATTCCGAGTCTTTTTATGTTTATAGAAGAACTTTTCTCTTTTGTATGTTTAGCCAATATCTCCTCACTAGTGGTAATAATGTGAGGGTGAAGCAATTTTAGTATCTGTGATGGAACAAATTGAATCAGGGAGGAATCTAATGCCATTAATTGTCAAAGATACTATGCTTAGTTTGGATGAATTAGAAAAATCCAAAAGCACCATTTCGAGGCTCTCCATTTTTTATTACAGGTAGAAAAAAAATAATAAAAAACTTATATTTTTGTATAGTAATACTAATTATTTGCATTGAATTTTTGTAGATGTGGCTAATGGGGATACTAGAATTAATTAGTCCTCCTGACAACATTGACAAATATACTCCAAACTGCTTTGTGTAGCGAAAGAAGCGCTTTTCCATAAAGATGGGTCGCCGGGAGTGGAGCAAAATATACGTCTCTCGTGATTTTGCTATCAAATGGATCATCCCATGGTGGAAAATTGAAAAGATGGTTGGTGTCAACAAGCAAACCTTCTGCCATCTTCCAAGCTTATCCAAGATGACTTTCTATTACCCCTGCAGGGTAAAAATACAGTACAGCCTTGCTCAAACTATTCTTTCTGAAGATCTTCGTCGTCCTTATGAATTCCCTGTTTTACAAGAAGTAGAGAGATTTGATTCTTAGCTTATTGGAGTGCTAGGCCTTTATGGGAAGTTGTTACCCAATGGGTTCCTCCTTCTTTTTCTAAGGATAATAAGCATTAGCTACGTGATAAGCCTAAAAAGGATAAGAAGAAAGATCAAAGTAGAACCAATGTGAAGAATCGACTAGGAGACAAGATAGCTCCTGTTAAGGAATCCTTAGGTGAAAGAGTTGAGTTCAAAACACCTATGATGCCTAAAAAGAAAGACACTACTAAAGGCAAAGAGAAAAGGAAAGCTAACTCTACAGAAAAGAAAATATGGGTAGAGAAGAAACATGGTGTATTGGCTAAAGGTGAAACTATTTACACCAAAATTGAATGTAGATCTTCTAATTAAAGGATGCTTGCTAGATAAAGTAATGGATGATGAAGAAGA